CACAGGGCCAGACTTAGGGTTTCTTAACTGGAAAATCAGAAATTTCTAATTCTATTTCTTTCATTGTTATAGATCTGTTCCTTTCTTTTATTTCTTCATAAGTTAGTAAGTTGCTTTAAATGTGTCTAAAATCTATAGACAAAAATCTACCAATGTGTCTACAGTCTATATTTGTCTCTTTAAAAGAACATACATTATAGTACTTTTAGTGTAGTTTGAAAGTCTTTATTTTTTTAACTGGAATATTTAGTGTTTTTATATTTATTGTGATTACTGACATATTTGTGTTTATTCTTTTATATTATGGCTTCTGCTTGCCTCTTATGCTTCTATTTCCCTCCTCTTTCTTGATTTCTTTTGGATTAATTGATATTTATTTATTCATTCATTTATGTATTGATTCATCTTTAAAACTCTCAGGTAAACAGAATTAGATTAATCATACTCCTTAGTTCATGACTGATTCCCATCACTGGTGTATGCAAAGTCTTCCTTTGCCCAATTTATTTGTTTACTTGTTTATTAAGACAATAAACATTTGCGATCTAATTATCCAATTGAATATAAATAATATTGAAGCTAACTTACCTGTGTCCTCTGTGCTACTCCTCCTGTGCTCTCTTTTTCTTGTTCCATGTTTTCCTTCCATTGCCTTGGATCTTAGATTCTTTGGATTTATTTTCTGAGATTTTTTTCCTTGATGTCCTCACACTGAAATTTAACACAGCCAAAGTTACTCAATGTATTTACTCTCTTCCCAAATGTAAATGTCTTGCTGTATTAATCACAGTATCACTTCTCCCAAAGTAAACACTAACAGTATTATAGGAGTTATTAAGAAATTGTTTTAGGCAGATATGGAGGTTAAGGAGTCTTTGGTAAGGTTTTTTTCTGTTAAAGCAGCTCCAGAAATGTTTCTTGTCTAGCAGAAAAGTGACTTGAAGGGCCAGATCGGCAAGCTTTAATATGCAAACACTAGCCATTAGAAACTGGGTCCATCCAATATGGTGATTATTGACCTCTTCTCCTTGTCAGCCTGTGTGCTAAGCATCATGACCATCCCCCAATAACCTCACCTATGCAGAGCATCATGGTGCCCTATATTTGCATATTAAAAGGCTAGGGTGTGGCCGGGCGTGGTGGCTCAAGCTTGTAATCCCAGCACTTTGGGAGGCCGAGGCGGGTGGATCACGAGGTCAAGAGATCGAGACCAACCTGGTCAACATGGTGAAACCCCGTCTCTACTAAAAATACAAAAAAAAAAAAAAAAAAAAAAAAAAAAAAAATTAGCTGGGCATGGTGGCGCGTGCCTGTAATCCCAGCTACTCAGGAGGCTGAGGCAGGAGAATTGCCTGAACCCAGGAGACGGAGGTTGCGGTGAGCCGAGATCGCGCCATTGCACTCCAGCCTGGGTAACAAGAGCGAAACTCCGTCTCAAAATAAATAAATAAATAAATAAATAAATAAATAAATAAAAGGCTAGGGTGGGAAGGCCAGATTTTTTATGGCATGCATGAATGTCATACCTGGTCAAAATAATCCTCTGGGCCCTATGCAAATCAGACACCAGCTCCTGCAGCCTCCTAATATAACTGACTGTTTACCACCACTCTTGGGGTTTCATCTCTCAGCTTGGAGCCCCTTTCCCTCTGTCTCTGGAAGGGGGAGCTTCTTCCTTCTTTCTTGCCTATTAAACTCTCCTCTCCTTAAAACCACTCCATGTGTGTCTGTGTCATTTTTATCTAAATCACCATGAAGCAAAGGACCCTGGTGTTAGTCAGCAGAGTCATATCATTTTAGTGCATTGACCAGGAAACTAAGGTGCAGCATTCATCAGAGTGGTAAGTATGGGAGTGAGCTTAAAATCTGTTCTATCATTCTTAGGTGCTATTTTTCTCTATTTTAAAATCAAACCAGATCAATCAATGGGCATCCATCAGTTGGTTAAACAGTCTTGTTTAAACATATAAGTTTTGACAGCAATAGCACAGAAGTTAGAGTGAGTAAATGGAAAAATACTGTTGTAATGTTGTTACATTTTGAAGATAGAAGAAGTGGGAAGAGAAAAATACAAAGCATCAAGTATCAGGAAGAGAAAAGACAGTAGGGAGTGGAAAAAATTAGGTGTGAAGTATAAAATAAACACAATTGGCTCTAAATCATTTATGATACTTAAGGTAATATATTTATAGCCCTAGAAAATTACTATAAAATAAAAATAATTTTAAAATATAACTAAGAATCCAATAGAGGAAGTAAATAATATTAAAATACTTTATTTTTCTAATAGGAAACACACAAACGTGCAGGTTGGGGAAACGTGATAAACAACAAAATGGAATTAAAACAGCCTGACCTGCAATGTGGAAAATTCTACAGGACAAATGACTTGACTTGATTTCTTCAGCAAATAAATGGCAATAAATAAAGGAAAGGGGACTTCTAACAGATTAAATTAAAGAGTCATATCAACTAAATGCAATGCAATGGAGCTTCCTTTAATCCTTATTGGAAAGAAACTATAAAAATATATTTTGGGGAGAAACAGCAGAAATGAAACAGGGATTAGTATTAGATAATATTGAGGAATCAGTTATTATTTTGTTTTAGTTTTGTGTGTTTTGAAGTAAGTCTGTGTTGACACATTTATAGGTAAAACTATGTTGTCTAGAATTTGCTTTTAAATATTCTAGCAAAAAAACGTGAGAAAAGAGATAAAACCTTAAGGGTGGGATGATGACTATTGATGAAATTAAGACATGGGTTACATATGGTCATTTGGCTCCTTTTTAAATTTTGTGACTATTTGAAAATCTCCACAATAAAGAGTTACAAATAATGGAAGGGATTACTGTGTCTCAGAAGTTTGGAACAGGTTTTTCTGGCTTTCCCATATGCAGGTGCAGTGAGCCTGACTTGCACTTTTGGGTCTCACACAGCAAGCAGACCTGAGTCTCTGGTGGACACAGTCAGAACTCCACTTTTTTGTTCTTACTCCGTGTCTTTCTCTGCCTAGCCTGGTTGTATGCAAGCTCACATAGGTCCCATTCTAGCCTAGGAAATAGCATCAATCCCGTCTTTTGGCCTCAGTTCAAAACTGCTTCCTCCAGCACAATTAACCCAGAACTCTTGACTTTGTGAAATAAAACTGACCCTTAGAATTAAATTTAGCTTGGATCTCTGTGATTCTGTTCTAACCGCAGAACGCTGGAGGGCAGACTGTCATCTGCACCCAACCCACAGCTGTGGGAAACAGATCAGGTAACAGAACGACAGAAAAGCTTCATCAAGGGGAGGCATTTTTCGGATAATGGAAAATTATGCATGCTCCCAAGCTAAGGTCAATTATCCAGGGTAATAAAAATGTAAAAAATGTGAGAAAGTGAGATTGAGAGTCGGAGCAAGGTCCCTAAGAAAGCAAAATAAAGACCAGAGATACAGTGCAAGAATTCCTGCCAGAGGGATGATTTATTTTTCTGTACATTGGTAGGAAGAAAGTTAAAAGATAAAAGAAACTACAAAGATGAGTTGAGAAAGACATGAAGGAGGTTGAGGTGGTTTTTCTATGGTGGGTGAGCTCTTTGGAATAAGAAAGAATAAGATAGAGAGAGAACAAAAAGAGATTTGTGCACAAAGCTAGAATAATGACAGCAGTGGGATACGGGCAAGTCTGTCTGCACTTTAGTGATAGCCCAGGGGCTGGTCTAGGCCTCAAGGAAAAGAAAAAGATCTAGCAGTTCCAAATGGACCATACTTCTTGTTGCTGTACAGCCAGCGCAGATGAGAAAGTCGGGGTCCTCTAGTGAAATAGCTCATTCCACATATTATAGAAAGGCTCAGAAGAAGATGGCTCAGAAGGTAGGGGTTGCAAAAAGCACCACTGTCCAGAAAAGTTCATATTCAGATCCACTGGCTTCCTCTTCCTTCTCCCAACGTGCTCTGAAGAGGTTCCTGATGAACATCCTCACTTAGATCTAAGTCAGATGTCGTGTCCTGAAAGAACTGGAACATCAGGAAGAATTTCTATGGTACCCTTCCCTCTGAGTAAGTCAACTATTTCAGCTTTATTTTATATTATTGATTCTTAACTTATTTTTGTTCCTAACCACAGAGAAAATAAGTTTCATGTAAATGTAATAGTGATAAAACTGCATTTTCACAGAAAAATATGACCAAACAGCCTGTAAGATAACTATAAATAAGTTTATTAATTGTAGTAACATATTTATGAGAGTTTTAAATATCCAGACCAGTTATTTTCTCAAATATTTATACTTACTGATAATTAAGCACACATACAATTCAAAAATACATTCAGCTATTAAATAGACATGCTCACTGTAGTCATAAAAGAACAAGAAATCTAAAGAGAATTAATGTTTCTTGGAATATTTTTCCACAAAAATCAAAGTAGCATTAGAAATGATTGAACACCCAATATATACATGATATTTGAAAGTGACTTCTGGTCCTCGAAAGTTTCCCTTCCTTCCCCAGGACATGTTAATTATGATGAATACAATTTGATAAATTTTTTTATAAATTCAAAAAACACTTTTTAAGTGGTCTGCAACAATAAAGACAGAATACTCCAAATATGTTGCAGGTACTAATTTCAGCTATCTGCATGAACGTCCTTGAATTATTTCAAAGGTATCATACTGGCTTGCAAGTAAAATACAGATCTGGCTAAACCCAGTTTTACAATATCAAATATAAGCTGGAAGGAAACAAATTGTAGAGCTATGAAATGTAAAAAATAAATATTAAGTAAGATAAAAGTAGTGGTTTGAATTGTGTAATGGTTCAATATAAATAGGTCCGGATTGCAGAGGAGCATTAAATGATGAGTGAAAAGATTGGTTTTCTCCTATCTTGGCACTCATTTACTGAGCAATCCAGGGCAAGGGTATGAAATTGGTTTCCATGTATATATGATAAGTTGGTGGGAACAGATGTTCTCTAAGATGCCTCTGAGTTCCAGCAGCTTGTAATACCAAGTCTGAATAGGTTGCTGCATCCCATTCTTATATCTCTTCAATGGAGGAGCTCAATAAAGAGATTGCAAATAACTAGAAGCCTTTCCCTGGCTTTGGCACATGGTTATTTGAATACACAGTATTTACCGGGAGTTCCATTGAGGAAGACATCCTGAACATATTAGGAGTGCTAGGTAAAGTATCAGCAAGTATTTATGTTTGGTTAAGTAAATGAAGTATTTCAAGTGTTGTTTGAGTAACTGGTTTTCTTTGCATGCTCAAGGTCCCTGCTTGCTTTGCATCTCACTATTGAGCAGACAGCCTGCTGAAAGTTGTCACTGACCACCACATACAGTAGCAGGTTACCAAAGGTGTTCAGAGCAGCGAATGGTCTTGAAACGATGTAAGCTTCATGGATCTGATTCTCAATGGAACAGCTGATTGAAAGCAGGCGAGATTCGATCCGAATGATCCTCAAGATATGAAAGGGTAACAAACATACATAAAATACGAGGAGTAGCAGAATGGCTAGCCTTCGAGCTTTCTGCTTAAGGCAGCTGTGAGTTTGTAGTCCATGGGTCAGAGTGTGGATAATCGTGGTATAGCAAAGTGTCACTATCACCAAGGGGAGGCAGAAGGTGGTTGCAGTCAAAATCAGGTTGTACCATTTAATAGTCCTGAGTTCATCTGAACTGGTGAGATCAAGACAGGCTGATCTGTTGGTCCTGTTGGTTGATGTGATCAAGAAGGTCATGGGAATGACAGCTACCAGTGAAATGATCCACACCACAGCGCAGGCTACCACTGCCCACCGAGTTTTGTGAATGGAAAAGCAGCTCATAGGGTGAATGATCACACAGTAGCGGAAGATGCTGAAGCAGGTGAGGAAGAGGATGCTGCTGTACAGGTTGAAATGGAAGCCGAAGCGGATAAACTTACACATGAAATCTCCAAAGATCCAATTTTCGCCATTGGCATAGTAGTGAATCAGGAAGGGGAGGCTGGTCAGATACAGCAGATCTGTGCAGGCCAGGTTCAGCATAATGATTGTGCTGCTCTTCCAGGGTCGCATTTTGAAAATGTAAATGGAAATCGCTACTGCATTCCCTGGAAATCCCAGGACGAAGATAATGCCATAAATAACAGGGAGGTAGTGCATCTTGAGTGGGATGTTTTTGTCAGTGCAATTTCCAAAAGCAGCTGCATAATCGGGAAAATCAGAAGCATTTGCTAAATTGTCTAGTGGCTCATTCATGGTTACCTCCTTTCATCTTGCAGGAAAACAAGAGAGTTCAGTTTGGCAATACGAATCGAATGAGAAGTAACTTGCTAATAAAGGAAAACAGAAAACATTAATGGTAGGGTAATAAAAACAAGGATCTACTTTTAAATGAAAATTGTTTTAACATCCTAAATTTGCCACTTCTCTCTCTCTTTAATCTCAAAAGAGACCCTGTGGAGAAGAAATTGCATTTCCAAGAAAATGACTGAGGCGAGTTACTAAATGCATTTAATAAAAATATAAAAGTTAAATTATCACGAGAATTAAAATGAAGGATTGGAAGAAAATAAAGCCACATGTAGCTCTGGAAAACAATTTGGCAAGGTTGCCATTTGGGCAAGCCATAGGGTATTGCCATTAGAAACTTAGCAACAGGACCTACTATTAGCAAGTGTGATGCAAGCCACCATCACTTCACTTCTACACAACACAAAATACTGAAAAGTCTTTCTTATTACCTCTATTTTACAAGAGACAGAAATGTTTTGTAGCTCATCTCTGGTAACACATCCAGTGGCTTAAATGGGATCCACACTCAGGTTTGTCTGACTCAGAAGACATTCTCTTTCTACACGACCTCTCAGTACTGCCTCTCAATCTGTGTTTTGTTGATTTTCATCAGGATTGCCCTAAATAATGGAGGGAACTAGTGTGAAGACAGGAAAACACTGAATACTGTAAATTTTAAAAATATAGATTGCATACATTGCAACATTTAATCGCACATTTCTGTTCTTACAATTTCTTTTAATAGCTCACATAATTTGCTTGTGCAGGGGAGTGTGTGTGGTAGGGTGGATGGGGCAGGATCACTGGTATAATGTAACAGTTAAGAGCCTGAGCTCTGAAGCCAGATGGCCAGATTTTGACGCTCAGGTTAGACATTAAGTAGCATGTTCCTAAGCAAGTTGATTAAGCTCTCTCGGGCTGGAAGGAGTGCAATTTTAACTTCCTTCCTCTTACTTACTAATGTTTTTAAAAATTTTGACGGTGAATTTTTGCAATGAGAAAAATACTGCTAAAAAAGAGTTACAATTAGCTTATTATTTGAATTAAATAGCTCTTGGTAAAATGCATCCAAGTACACATTTATGGAGTGCCCACTGTGTATTAGATCCTTTGTCAAGTCCTAGCAATAGAAACTGAATAACATACATGGATGTATAAGCCACTGTCACAACCTACTGGGGGAAAGTGGACATGGAAAATCATTTTAACAAAATATAAACCCACCTCACGGAGCTGTCAATATTATGTTAAAAATGGGAAGAAAAACACTTGGCATACTACTGGGCACATAAGAAGAGCTTAATAAATGTTAGCTGATGTTAGTTGCTAAGTCATTTGATGTATGAATGGTACAAGACTACAGAGATCACAAGGAAAGGAGGAAACATCAGAGTTTGCCACCATTATTACTAAAATCCGATACTAAATCTACACTATCCAGGATTTCCTGAGAAGAGTACAGAGGTATATTTCAAACTAGCCCAACTTAACAAACCCTAAATTAGCAGAATCAGTCCCTGTTGACTGCCCCTGAGCGTACTCTTCCTGGTCTCACTTAGTCCAGGAGGTCTGGGAAAGTTGTAATGAACTCAGCATGGTTATGAGACATTGGGAGATAAAGTTGAGAAGGAAAAATAGGTATTAATAAAAAAATAATAGTACAAAGCTCTACTATAAGTGTCTTACATATTTAAATCTGTTTAATCCTCACCACCAATGGTGAGGTAGTGCTGTGATTGTTCCCCTTTAACAGAAGAAGAAACTGAGGCACATAGGAGGCAGTGATGTGCTCAAGGTCAAGCTGCTAGTTAGGGCGAGCCAGGATATGATGGGGGCAGTCTTGTTTCCAGTCTGGGCTGCATCTTACAGTGAGTAGGCAAGAGGGAAATCTGAAGAGCCTGTAATCACAAAGACCACTTAGCACATGACCTCTCAGTGCTGCCTCTTAATATGTATTTTTTTGATTTTCATCAGGATTACCCTAAATAACTGAGGGAATTACAAGTGTCAAGACAGAAAAAGTCTGAATATCTCAGAAAAGCTCAATAAATCAAACACTGTAGAGCTATCCCTTGGTATCTGCAGTGAATCGGTTCCTGAACCCCCAAGGATACCAAAATCTGCATATGCTCACGTCCCTGATATAAAAATAAAATGGCATGGTATTTGCATGTAACCTATGTCCATCCTCCTGCATACTTTAAATTGTCTCTAGATTACTTATAATACCTAATGCAACATAGATGTTGTATAAATAGTGATTATACTATATTGTTTATGGAATAATGGCAAGAAAAAAGTCTGTACATGTTTATTACAGACATTTTTTAAAAAGTATTCTCAATCCACAGTGGTTGAATCCACTAGTGCAGAACCCATGTATCTGGAGGACCAGCTGTAATTGTGTGAACCAGGGATAAATTGTTAATAATAATAGTGACTGCTTTTCCCTGGATTGAGAGAAGATTAAATGATTTTTCAAATAATCTCAACTTATATTTTAGATTCAGGGAGTACATATGCAGGTTTGTTAGCTGCATCTATTAAATAGTGCTGAGGTTTGGGGGTTTGACTAATTCTGTCACCCAGATACTAAACGAAGTGTTGAAAAGGGTGTGTGGATCATGCTAAGTGCTACATCAGAATCTGCCACCATTATAAATATTCTCTGATACTGAATCTACACTATCCAGCATTTCCTGAGAGGAGTGCAGAGGTGTATTTCAAACTAGCCCAACTTAACAAATCCTAAATTAGCAGCATCATTCCCTATTGACTGCCCTTGAATATACTCTTTCAGATCTCACTTAGTCAAGGTGCATATCAGAATGCATTTACAGGTTTGCTACTTTTATTCTGTATGAACTGGGGAAAGAATAGCCCGAAACATAGAACTTGCCTCTGGGCAGCTGTTAGGTTCTCAACCGGAGAGGCTGGTGCTCCCTGGGACCATGTATTACCCATGAAAAGTGAATGCTTCTCTCCTTGCCAAGTTAATTGACTCTAATTAAAAGTGCTATTCAACTGTCACTTACACAGCACTGGAGTTCATAGGAGTCAGGGACTGCTGACCGGTGAGAGTGCTCTCAAGCCAGGCAACCACAGTGGATGGCTCCTCCCTTGGCAGAATGTCTTAAATGGACTCATGCATAAGGAGCAGGAAGTCACTTAAAATTGAAAGGAAATGGTCACAGCCAAGGAGTCCCAGAAGCAGCACATCCCAAAGACAGTTCTTAGATTATATCAAGAGGCCGCTAAGTAGCTGGCACAAGAAAGTAAAGATAGTTTTAGTAACACTCAAAATAATTCTCTGGAGTTATTTCCTTCTAATTGGGATTTGCCTTAACAGAGAAGTGAGAAGAAGAGAAGGGGAGGGAATTCAAGTCCAAGCTGCGTATCTGTCAGCTCCTTGAAAGCAAAATCACAAGTCACCTCATACCCCAGGGGCTGGCACACAGAAAGTATGTAGTAAATATTAATTTTTGCTGAATGCATTAAAGAACAATCAGTAACATCGGTAAAACTTACATGATACTGAGGGACTAGTAAAATGGCAACTATCACTAAAAAAAAAAAAAAAAAAAAAGCTTGGGCCGGGCTTGGTGACTCACGCCTATAATCCTAACACTTTGGGAGGCCAAGGCAGGTGGATCACAAGGTCAGGAGATCGAGACCATCTTGGCTAACATGGTGAAACCCCATCTATACCAAAAATCCAAAAAGTAGCCGGGGTTGGTGGTTTGTGCCTATAGTCCCAGCTACTTGGGAGCCATGCTATGGAGGCCATTTTAAACAATAATTCAATCAGTAAAATACAGGTTATAGGTAGAAACAACTGCCTTATTGTTGTGAAAAAATAATAGTTAAGATTAGGATTGAATGAAGACTGACTAGTCAATTATAAGGGTGGAGGGGTTGACTGGGAAGCTTAGCGTCTCTACCATAAAACCTCATAAAAGTATAGTCTGAGTTTACAAAATATGTGTCATGTTAAGAACAGCACAAAAAAACCGGTCTGGGCTGTGAGCAGGTAGAATGAAGCTGTTTCTTTCCTCCCTAGCCTCAGGGTCTGGTGCAATTCACTGCCACCACGCAGAACACCAGATGGTCTACAAACAAATCATTTAAGCTCAAAGGACATTAAAAACAAATGCGGCACAACCCTGCTATATTCCCTTCTCTTAATACAACAGTAGTTCTCAAACGAGAGGATGTTACAAGTCACCTGAAACTAATGGGCTCCTTGCAAGCAAGAAATAATGATGAATTAAGTTTCAACATAACCAAAATGTAAGTGTGAACTAAGCTAGGTTCAGCATGCATAAAAGCAAGCATCAAAGTTTGGGATAAACTTGTAAAAATAAAAAGCTTATAATTTCAGTACAATCACTATGGAGAATAGTTCGGAGGTTCCTCAGCAAATTAAAAACTGAGCTACCATATGATCCAGCATTTCCACTATTGAGTATATACCCAAAAGAAAGGAAATCAGCATATCAAAGAGATATCTGCACTCCCATGTTTGTTGCAGCTCTGTTAACAACAGCCAAGATTTGGAAGCAATCTAAGTGTCCATCAACAGATGAACGGATAAAGAAAATGTGGTACTTACACACAGTGGAGTACTATTCAGCCATGAAAAGGAACGAGATCCTGTGTTTGCAACAACATGGATAGAACTGGAGGTCATTATGGGAAGTGAAAAAAGCCAGGCATAGAAAGACAAATATTGCATGTTCTCACTCAGTCATGAAATCTAAAAATCAAAACAAGCACACTCATAGGCATAGAGAGTAGAAAGATGGTTACAGAAGTTGGAAAGATGAGTGGAAGATTAATTAGTGGTAGATTAATTTGTACCCATTAGCCATCCCTGGTGGAGAGGATGGCTAATGGGTACAAAGAAAAGGTAGAAAGAATGAATAAGACCTACTATTTGATAGCACAATAGGGTGACCATAGTCAATAATAACTGA